CTAATTACTTCTCAAAATAATATATAATACAGTATAATTGTTTCATCATATTCTTATGATAATAATATACTGTAATTCCAATTCTAAATTTAATACTACAGGTCTTCTTCCGACCGGCAGTAAAACCCTTGCAAAAGTGGGGCGTCCGTTTGGTGTGGGTCTCATTGGGGTCTAAGCGTGACCCGGGATTGCCGATTTTTTGTAAGCGTGACACGTGAAAGTCAAATTATTCTGCCGTGAAAACGGGAAATGAAGTCTAGCGGGACACGGGAAATTACAAAAAAAATAGAATTGCTTACGTACATAGTGTAAGCGGGATACGGGAATCTGACAAAACAGTAAGCGTGATCCGGGATCAGAACCCCCCAATGAGACCCCCTTTGGTGCGGGATGTATAAAGTACACAGCCACGTGCGGTCAGAATGGCGACGTTAAATCCGATGCTTCGTGTAGAGAGAGTGCCACGCTCTCTGCACGTTAAGAACCCTTGCAACAACTCTTTGAGGGGTCCGTAGGTGGCCTGTTGCAAGGTCAAAGGAGTATGGCCACGAAGTGCCGATATTGGCCCTGTGAGGTGACAAAAAATAAAAGAGAAATAAGGTGGATCCTTTATAGCTAAAACATATCTACGTATATCGTTATTTGTTATTATAGTATAAAATCAAATTTTTGTGACGTCATTAATGTGACGTAATACCCGGAATCAAACCGGAACGCTCAAAATGTCCCAATTCTTAAAGAATTTCATACTTCCTGGTTAAATTTCGCATTGGCCACAGGCCTCGGCCAAAGTAATTTTACTCTTATTTTGATTGTTTGACACTTTGACTCAGTTTGCAACAATATTTAGAGTGGTCGAGGCCTGTGCCCACATCGAAAATTTAACTTTTGCTAACAAGCAAATCCTGATTCAACGCCGCCATTTCCGAGGTATGATAGATTCTGTGACGAAATAACTGTACCAAGAAATTGTACAATGGCTATAAATAGAATAAATTCTATAATTTATTATTTATAACAAAATATTATTTATCCATTTATAACAAACAAAAAAGAAGAAAATGGAATAACAAGTCTTTGTTTTAGCAAAGCTTCGTTAACCGCCGATCTGGCGAGGTTTTTAAACACGGATAGATACGTCCTCATAACTGTTTTTATTAGAAAACAAGACAAATTGGTGGAAATAAAAATTATGAATTTGCAAATTATTTTAAAGTTCATTTCCACGTTATTTTGTAATAATTACTGTAGCCCAGTCTGTGCTATGCAAACAAAAAAATATGACAGTTTTAAATTTGAGCCGTAGTTTTTATTCGTAAAATTCTACATCCAGCAGATCGATATGGGTGTCAACATAAAAAATTAATACAAATTTCCTTTTAGATACACGTATTTTGTTTTTTAAAGACGAAATCGTCGAAATGTAACCTCAGCGGAATGTAATCTCATGTTGACGCTTTGAAGAAGTGCTTTCTTTCACGTCCGTATTTTCTATCATGTATGGCATGCCATGGGAAAATTTTTTTAAATAATTACTACGGATGGTGTAAATAAATTACAGAACTATGAACAATAACATACATAGAAAATAGTTGGACATAAGAAGAAACCACGTGAGAATTTTTATATCATATTGCACAGTGGTTAAATAAGCTTTTCAATATTTCTTTATAATTAAAATAAAAATACCACACCATGAGAGGGCATGGTGTATACTGTCCGTGACATTCAACTAGAACAAATATTTGTTTTCAATGAAAACTGAAATAAAGATGAAACAAAACTATTCGACACAATCATATAGCACTTCAAATCATATAGCACTTCAAATAAATATCTGATATTCACGCGGGATAGCATATGCATAATTGGTCAGAATGCATACAAGGAGCAATTGTTTATTTGGTCCCTTTTTGGTGGTCCCTTTTTAAATTATGACTATGTTACAAGCGACCAACAAAAATGGCTGCTTACTATGAATAAATTATCTATGAGATATCTTTATATTTCTGATATTTTTCGTTTCTTGTGGTGGCCCGAGGTTCGTGTTCAATCTGTAGTTACCTGTTTTTATATATTTTTATTGCTGTTTTTTTTTTCGCCTCTAAATGTTCATGGTGTTGTATGATTTTATTGGTCTTATGATTATTTATTGCCCCCCCCCCCCCCCCATCCTTTTGGATAATTTTCTCTTATGTTCAATGACTCCACATGCAATTTCTTGTTTTACTGTTTGAAATAGATTCTTTAAATTGCTCTCCGTCATAAATATGCATGAAGTATTTGCCACTGAACGTTCGTCAAACAACTATCAATCATATCTCCTCTAAAGTTACAGTACAATAATGGCTTTAAACATAATTAAATAAATGATTAAAGATTGTAAAACCTTTTGAGAAGATATTTACGCGTCTATTATTTCAATTTTTTGGAAAAAAAAAAATAATGATTGACTATCAAAGAAACACACCATTTTACTACATGAGTTGTTTGTCTCGTGATCATGGATGACTGTTTAACGTCCAGCGGCAAGTTAGAGGCATATTTCGGAAAAGAACATGTTAATTTGCGCACATTGCCTCTAGACTCTAGTATCTAGGGTATACAAGACATAATCTGGATATCACACATGGAGTCCAGAATTGAGGAGCTTCTCTTGAAGATGCAGCATTTATCCCACATGACATGGACGAAAGTGACAGTGAGCAGAGTGTAGTTGAAGAATAAAAATATTAATTTTATCATTGTTAGGTAGCTGTAACATTGACGTTTATCTCAGTATTCCTCTTGCTCATGTTTTGGAAACCTATTTGTTTATATCGTACTTTTTGCAACTAAGCAAACTTTTTGAAAACTCTTAAAACATTTTTACGGGTTAATATAACATATCAATGAGAAATAGTTCACATTTCATTTCACTGGAAAGAAAACAAACATTGTGGAGAGTTGTCTCATTGGCAATCATACCACATCTCCTTTTTATATAAAGACGAAAATTATTGATCTTGTATATTAATTATAGTTATAGATAATACATTACTTGAATGGACGCAGCTTACATAGTGACTACACTTATATCGTTACAATCAACGCCAAATAATAAACTGATATTCATAGATTTCTATTAGTTTTAAAATGAATCCATGCGCATCATTCGGTATCTGGTTAAAGTGGTCTTCTTTGCAATGATATCACATCTTCTTTTTTTCATACGGATTGAGGCATGAATCTGTTTAATTTGACCAAATGATAATAAAAATGATAACAAAGTACACTCGAACTTTTTTCGAGATAAGAATGATAGTTGTGTGTGGAATACCGGAACACTTTAACCACGAGCAAGACTAGTTAAGATTACAAGATAAAAGCTTATTAAGAATAATTTGACAATTGTGAAAACCTTAAAACAGAATTTCAGTTTAAAACTTAAAGGGGCATTAGCTGTCAAATTCATGTTCACCGATTTGACTCAAATTCTCATATTCGACTTATAACATACTAAAACGTATATCCAAATTAAAAAAACAATTTACGATGCATAGACTCGATTGTATGTATCAGCATTTCGTGTGTATTTTAGTCTAGACGCCATCTAATTAACCATCGAGGCGACCTTCTGAAGACTGCCGACGGTCATCTTACCCGATATAAACATAAACAAAGATATAAATAGATAGCAAACTCGTGCAATTGGATTTTTCTAGGTCTGTTTGATTATATATCATAGGTTAAATCAATATGTTAATTATCGTTTGTACCTGTATAAGAATTAGTTTTTGTAGATCGAATCAGTCAACCAAATGGTTTACCCTTGTTTCACTTCCAATGTTGACATTCTTTTTCTTTTAATACCTGAACACGCCTAGTTCATGCGAAACCCATCTCTAGCTAATGGGTTCAATTGAACTTCACATGAATACGGATTTAATGAGGTCGAATTATGAACAACACTAGTTAGTGATCCTCCTGCAGTAATTTCGTCAATTTCTGAGACAGGGCCGTTTTTAACCCTTCATGGCCCTACTCCTTTCTGTCCCTATCAAATTTACCCTCATTTCCCAGTGGCAGTCGATATTTCCCTGACCTTATCCCAGACGGCCTGAATTAGAAGACCTACCTATTGTATTCATTGTTAATTTGTTCTCGTCCTGAACATGCATGAAATATTTCCCACTGGACGTTAAGCAACCAACAATCAATCAATCAAAATTTAATAAACTGTAGGTTCGTGTTGGTCAGTCTGTAGTTTGCTATGTTGTGTTTTGTTTACTGTTGTTTTTCGTATTTTGCCATGGCATTGTCACTGTGTTTGATGAGTGTGAATATCTCTTTGGTATCTTTCGCCTCTCTTTTGTAAGCAATCAAAAGAACACATTACTATACAACACTTCTGACACATAAAACAAACAGGAAAAGGCAACATCATACCAAAGCAATCGACGTAAACAAACACACAACGAAAATACTTTAAAAATAAGACAGAATAACACGATACCAGAAACTGGTTAAGATAATAATACATATTCAGTTACTGGACAGGATATCCTTTTGCCAAACTTCGCTCATGTAGAGAGGCATCTTATGGCAAATGGTGAAATCCTTATGGGAATGTGCAATTAACGTAAAAACAATAAAATAGCTGGATAAACCTGAATACCTGAGAACCACCTGATTCATTTCATTTTAAAGCTGTAAATTTAATTAGCTGCATTAATATATATAACTAAATACAATGATTTTTTTATATTACATAAGCTGATGGTACTACAAAATGTCAATAAACAATAATTTCTGATAATGAAACAAACAATTGAAAATAATGTCCGAAAACATTATTGAACAAAGAATTTTGACAAAGAAAATTTGAACTTCTGATTAATATTTGTCATTAAATTGGAGACAGTCTTCAGATAAGTCGAAGGTTAACTATGTAAGCCGCTTATGTGATATGTCCATCTTTCCAATCTTATCTTGACGAAATTTACTTACTTGAACTCTACTTTATTTTGGACATTTATCGGCGATACGAATAAATGTACTATTATTGGAGTGTCTTCTGGATATACATTTGATACCAAACAATGCCAGGTAAGATTATATTATTCAGCTACACTTCATATTTTATCAAATTACAAAGTACCTTGATAGCTTTTTTTTTCTTTTGTTTTTGTTTGGTCAATGCAGAATTATAATTGATACAATATATCCTCACTGCATCATTCGTTCAGTTGTATTGCGCTTGAATGAACTTCGTCGCTATTTGATGTCGTCATTACGCAATTATTTCTAATTTAGTAATAGTAAAAGTTCAATGATAAGTTAATATTGATATTAAAAGACCTCCGAACAAAAAAGGATGTTCAGATCCCCGAGCCCGAAGGGCGAAGTGATTTGAAGAGCCCTTTTTGTGAGGAGGTCTTTTAGTGTCAATATTAACTTAATCATTGAACTTTTACTGACTTACAAACCGTCAAAAACATAAGAAAAGTACACAAAAAGCACTTGCAGAAACCTAATTCCCCTGAATTGCACGAGTCTAAAGATGTTCAGTTAAACAGTACTCAGACTGGTATGTACAATTAACAGTTACCAAATTGCAATGGAACCGAACCGATTAAATGGCAGTACATCATTTAATTATTTATTTATTATAAATTTGTTAGCATTAGAATAACATCAAATGATAGTTTCTCAAACTTAGGGGGTAAATTCTTATTTTTGAATCCAACTTTTTCTTATTTAGTAAATAAGGCAATCAAAACCCTATACAGACCTCATTTATAACTGACCAATGAATATTCTGCACAAAAACGTCTTGTTATATATATTTGATGATTTTAATCTGTCAGTAATCATGAAATAGATTCGTAAAGACCAGATCTTAGAAAACAGTAAGTAAATTCTTCCGACAATTAACTTTTTAAACTGCTTGTTTCAGAACTTCTAATCGAACAGACCTAGATGTACATGTATAAGGCCTTTACAATATTCACCCGGTAAATGTTCATTTTGTTTTTGATTCTGTAATTTTTAACACTACGTTACATGCGAATGTAATATAATTAATGTTGTCTGTTCAGTCCAATTAATTAATAGATCTTGCTTTTTTTTGTTTTTTTTTAAAATTAAAACTATGCATGCAAACTTCAATGAATAAAATCGTATTAAAAAACCTAGTTGTAACATATATAGCATCAACTATGTTTCACTGGTCAGATCAAAACGTGTTGAGTTGAGATATTTTCGCAAGTTCAATGTATTATATGAAAACAAACTCTTTTATTCTAGTCATCCGTTATTTCCTTTTCTTGTCTAAATGAAGCAAAAACACCTGAAAAAACTTCTACCTTTCTTAGTTTTATCCTTGCCTGACAAAAAATCATATGTTATAAATCGTATTAAAACATTAGATAAGAAGCATAGTAAAAAGTATTTAAAACTTTTTTATAAGCAGTCAGTAAATGTAATAAATTGAAGAAAAAAAATAAAAACAAAAAAAAACTTAAAAATTTAAATGGAAATTGTACGTTATAGTTTATAGCATTTTACAAGATCTTGTCTTTGTGTGCTAAGTACATGGAACATTTTATGAAGTTGATTGATTTTTGTTTGCTTTACGTCCAGTGGCAAATATTTCATGTATGTTCATCACTATAACAAATAGATTTAAATACAATGGGTAGGTCGTGCAATAGGAGGTCAACAGTGAGGTTGGACGTGAAACTTTAAAATGCCACTGGAAAATGAGGGTATATTGAATAAGGACAAAAAATTAGACTTGCAACAGCTGGCCACATTCGGACCACTCATTGACAAATAATTGGTGCAAGAGTTTTTAATTTACCGAGAGCGTCGATCCATGAACTCTTCTCTGAAGTCGATCATCGATGTTTACGTGTAGTTTGAAATATCATTTCACGCATCCAATTTAGGTTAGATACTTTTAGCTCGCTTTAGTAACTGTGAGAATTCTGTGAAACTGTTTTGTTTATTGTACTTGGTTTTTTTTTTTGGTATGGTATTCTGTACTACCGTTCTCCTGGTTGGGCTCGTGTAAGGGTGTTGGCCTTGAGAGCGGGAGGTCGTTTGTTCGAATCCCGACCGGGCCAAACAAAGACGTTAAAATTGGTATTTGCTATTTCAACGCTAAACACCGGGCATCATAGAGTAAAAGCACGGACTGGTCGGCTCAGAGTCGGAAATGTGTCCGGGTCGGGTGACTTTTCTTACTGCGAACTAATATCTTGTAAAATTACACGTTAAAAAAAACGACTAAGCGTGTCAGTCTAGTAAAAAGCGGGGTTAATACTCATATCATATTTACATGTTATCGTCCTGAATATTCATTTTATTTGTCGCTGGTCGTCATCCATTATCATCATTAATTTACCGTTATGTTATACAGTGAAGTGTTTTTCTTCTACTGGTTTATAGTACAACTTCTTAAATTTTCACCGATCAAAATTAAAATTGGGCAGGTGAAATTTTTCAACCAAACACTTATTGTGATTGTTGGGATACCTTTGACGGTAAATAATATCAAATCAAATGTGCCTTTTGGGATATATAATATTAGACGGTAAATATTTTTGAATTAACTCCGTATAACTATTATTTGGTCATGGGGCGGTTTTGAGCTTTTTATTCTGTGAACGCATCTTTCTATAAAAACTGAATGTTGAAACTTAATATTTGATTTGTCTGTGTCTTTGGGTTGCTGTCGCATTAATGTATACCTTTATATCCTTCTATTCAAAACAAAATGATTTACTTGGGTATAGAGATATTGATATGTCTGGACCTCTCCCGTCCCACAGTATACTTTTGCCTTGGGTCCGTTCGTTTGGCTTATCGGATATATAAATGCGCAGCTTTGTCTGATCGAAATAGGAATGTATTTCCGATGACTGGTGTAGTGGGAATTTCACGCTATCTATACGTTAAAAACATTAGAGGGAAATACGATCTAGTAAACAACAAGAAAAATCGGCTAAATCTTTTCAAATAAGTCGCATGGCTGATTTTAACACATTTTGTTGCCACTTTTGCCAGGACAATTGTAGATGAAAAAAAATCAACAAAACTGATTAGCAAGACAATATCTAAAAAAAAATAAATGAAACGCTCACAATAAGCTGAATCCTTATATGAATTAATGTCACTTTTTTTTTATCCTTTTTTGCTTTTATGTCAACTATTATACCAGTTGAGATATAAATAAACTTTAAACAACAAATGTTGTCACCTAGACGAGACAGTCGCCATTGTACGCTTCAATATAAGAGTTATTGCCACTCAATGAAGATTGTTTTTCTGTTCTAATCCCCTCTCCTATTAGTTTTGCTGGAAAGGATACAATGTAACCCCTGATGTGTACTACGACAACGTTTTTTAATGTTAAAAAAAAAATTAAATGCAAAGAGAAAAATGATGGAAGAAATGCTAAGATTTACGCTTAAAAATGCAAATGTAAATAAAATTGAATATATAAAATTAGGAAAACTGTTAGAGACAATTATCAACTGAACACAAATGATTATACATCACTAAATGAAGTTGATAAATTAATTGTTCCATTAATGTCCAGTGGTAAATATGTCATGCATAATGCATATTCACGACGAGTGGATCAACCTGAAGCAAATGATTACAATATTAGAGTGGCACTTTTTACAATAAGGCAGAGCGTTCGATTGAGGTAAAACGTATGCCGTAATAGAATACAACTGAACCATGGTCGAAGTCGTAAGTTAAGCTTTTAGCCCTCCTTCCTTTTTTTTCTTCCACGGTAGACGAATGTCAAAAACAAAACGTCATGAATTTACAATCAATAACGGCCACTATAAGTAAATGAGATATACATGCTTGAACTTTTTTTGTAAATAAATTCCTATTGCAACGCCGTTTGATTATTGATCGGAGATATTAAAGCAACCAAAAGGACGTTGAATCAAAAAAATTCTAAAATTGTAAATTATGGTTTTTTACTGGGTGTTTTCCCAATCCTATTTCGGACCCCCTGATTTTAAGAGGGCGTATCTAATTAGTCATGCCCGATTAACATTTAGTAAATGGAACCTCAACTTAAAGACCTACACCGGGTAAATAAGTTCGAGGTACAATAAGTAGACAATAGAAATCATTTGTGAAATGAGATCGTCCCAGGTCTCTTAGATAATTATTTTGCGTTGAATAACAATGAAAACTGCACGAGCAGGTTTGTAACAAGAGATAATGACTTAACTTCATGTGACTATAAAACCAAACATATAGTCACGTTATTCCAAGGCATAATAAAAACGTGCATCATACGAATAAAAAATTGGATTTTTTATTATATTATTTCAGTTGAGTTCATACTACTGCACGTGAACTGTCAATCTACAGTGGAATTTTAATTATAGCGTTTCGGCATTTGTTGTTTTTATTTATTATACATTATTGAGATATAAAATCAAAATTACAATTTAGTGGAAAAAAATATTTAAAAACATACCAAACTCCAAGGTTAATTCCAAAAGGGGAAGACCATAAAAATTGACTTTATCAAACGTAAGACTTTATCAACGGAAAATCAGACAACGGAACGAATGGAAAACAACTGAATTACTTTCAAAACTGTCTCATAAAATTTAGTTTTCATGCTAACGGCTTGACATTACTTTAGGGGGACGGAAACATGGAAGTTCAGATTACAATCATCTCCTCCCTATGGGAAGTGAAAGCGAAGATGATGATTTTGGAGACGAACAGAGAACAGAAACAGACAAAACAGGGCCAAAAATTGAAGATGCAGAGATAGGACTTATACACACCAAATTAAAAAATGGACACGGACATGGATATAATTTTCGACAGTCAACACGAAAACAAGATCCCATGTGTACACCTACAAGAGGTGCAGTCATGCTAGCTCTGTCACTTTTGTTCTTTGGAGTTGGATATATGGCTGGATTCTTTACTCCATATTCGTTCAAACAAAAATATATACCAAAGCAACTACTGCCTAAGCTGCCTTCAATTGTAAAAGAGTCTAGACCCTGGCATTTAAAGCTGTCAGATTGGGGTAAGATACAAACAAGATGAATAACCCGTATACATACATGGTCACATTAAGAAAATAAAGATAACCGTTTACATAGATCAAGCAATTTTCTTGTTGTTGGTATTCTATATGCAAGCCTTTTATACATTTTCTGATATTATCATGAATACTCTGATAAAGAAGAACATGACAGATTGATTAAAACGTGAAATGAAAATTTAAAGTACAACCACTTGTTCTATGAATATGAAGATGTCTTGAAAAATTCTTGAACAAACTAATACCTCGAACAAGATTGATGCATGTTATGTTGACGATAGTGTTAAGTACATTTCTTAAACATAGTGATTTTTTCATACAAATGTTGGTTCCTATAAGAATGAAAGACCAGCAACGGAATTATTTTGAAGAGAATGCTTCTTATATCCCATTGGCATCGTCTTTGTTTTGTGCTAGCTTTCATTGACTTAAAGAACAGCGACAAATTGTTTGTTTTTTCTTTTTGTTTTTTATTAGTGTGTTCCAGTGCCAACTGAATATTCACCGATATCACCTATTTAGGACAATTGATGTTCTAGTTCAATACAAGTATAGGAAAACAAAGTTCTTCAAAACTTATATACCGACCAATTCATTCTGTAGTTTCTAATTTTAAATTTTAAATTTCAAATGATCAGTGATTTTATTTCTTTGATACAAATCCAGTGAAAAACAGAGTAAAATTTGAATAGATCTACATTACATTAAAGTAAGAAATTACAAATATAGTTATGATTTTGAAATAAAATAGATAATTTATTTATTCTCCAGGTTCAGAATCCTGCATCCGATTAGTTGATGTAGATGGTGATGGATTACTTGATGTCCTCACTGGTCTGGCTATTGGTAAAGATATAACTGAAATGGTTCTGGAATCTACAATGGATCAATTTTGTTCCAAACATGGTAAGACCTTTTAATCTTATTGTTAATATTTATTACTTATGTATCACTAAGTCTAGTCTAATTCAGGGTACTGAAATAATATTGGAATCTACAATGAAACAGTTTGGTCACAAACATGACAAGATCTTCTTTGCTAACAAGGAATATTTTCGAGTAAAAAATCCTGGTACATGGGCCTTGTAAGATATCATATTTAAAACCCGTTTCAGCGTGTCAGTTCAAAGTATTTTCGTACCATATGTATGTGGTATTGTCCTGCATGCAATATTTACTAGTGGACTTTAAGCAGCCACTTATCAATTAACCACAATTGTATATGCCTATGTTTTACTGTTTACTTGCATTTATTCATGTTTATTTTACTATTGCGTCTATCTTTTTGTACTATTTCAAGATATCGTGTACAGTCATTGCAAAGACCTCACCCTATCTGGGTCCTCCACTGATAGTATACATTTCAACGTATGAAGGTTTGCACAAAATACAGAATGTATGTTATTCCTGGTTAATAAGTCCTTGTGACTATAATATGACACTTACATTTGGAATATTTATCATTCTATTTTACATGCATTTTAGGAATGCAAACACCATGTGCAGGGGCTGTGATTGCGTTACGAGGTTATGATGGAAAATTACTGTGGCAGACAAAAACATATTCAGAGATTTTTGCAATGAACTGTCATGGCGTTGATGTCAATCAGGATGGATTAGATGACTGTATTGTTTCTGGACGACTGAAAGATCTTAGAGCAATTGACCCTAAAACAGGTATGAAACACTTTTTGAAAACACAGCTCACCTGATTTATGATATTAACGAAAACAGACAGAAATAAGTCTTCTTTTGCAACAACATAAAAGAGAACAGGGGAATTTTGGATCCTCAATGCTCTTTAACTTCGTACTTTATTTTGCCTTTTTAAATTTTTTTGATGCGTCTGGCGTACAAATGTTTAATCCAGGTAACTATGGTGAGTTTATCGGTAGTTTATACGCCAACACGTAGGAATGAGGAAACCTAGAGCTATCCATAAGTACCCACTCAATATTGCAGGTGCTCATTCGTTCTGCGTCTTGATATTCAACAATTATGGTTTTATATTTTGTTGCAGGTAAAACTCTATGGGTGTCTAACCCTGACAATCTGAGATTAGGTTGGAATATATATACAACAACCCCCATACCTGATATGAACTTTGATGGTATCAATGAAATTGTAATATCACACGGAGGAGATCCAATTATACCTGCTGAGGTAAGATAATCAGGACAGTTCGTACCAATGTTCATAGATAGGAGATGACACGTAGGGCAATATTTTAGGATGCAACTCTTCGTATCACTTCTAAATACTTATTACATTTAAAAAAAATGATTATTTTCATTTTGTACTTTTGTACTGCTTCACGAGGTCCGTTGTTATTTTTCATTCTCATCATGTGAAACCTCGTTTTGTATTGTTATTTGGTTGAGTTACTTTCCCTCATTGTCACATTTCGAAAAAAAATCTTTTGTATTTCTTTGTGTATTCTTTGTTTCAAGTTCCGTTCTAATGTCGGATTTTTGCTTAAAATATCTTTTACCAATTTGATATGTGATCGTCATTCGTATATGAGCAGACTTTAAGTTTCAATAACCAAAAATCCCATAAGCAGCACAAAAGGCCTTGGTAGTACTATGAAACCTTTCCCTTTTCATTTATCCACTTCCATTCCTTACCTACAATCTATTTTGCTGTTTCTCTCAAATGAAAAAAAAAATTCAACAGCATATTTTATGTTGACTGGAAAGAAATATTGTGGACTTGCTGAGTTTATATTTTGCTTAATAAGACGAGATAGCGCTTTATTGAAACTTTATCATATCTGACCAATTTTCTCCTATAATATATCAATTTATTTGTATTCTTTTTCGGATTTTGATGAATTTAAATTAATTAATGTGTAGTCCATAAGTCCTGTTATTCACAATAAAAAATTTTTATAGACCCATAAACGCCATTCTGGACGATTGATTATGATAAACGGAGCAACAGGACAAATAATGGGTCGTTATTTAGACATGCCAGAGGATAAGGAAATGTATATATCACCAGTTGTACACCAGCGCAGGGATGGTTCAATGTACATATTGTATGGCAGTGGAGGGGAAACAGTTGGAGGTATGAATGAATGGAAATACAATTATTTTCAAATATGCACCAGTAGTGTTCGTGCACTTTAAAACTTTTACACAAAAAAAGATTTAAAGTTAACAATCCTTTTCTCCCCTTCTCCAGCGTTTGACATAATACTATAACCTTTTTTTGTCAAATGAACAGCTTGCATACTCAAACTGTTACAGTATTAGTTTGTCTCAAAAACAAATGGATAACTGGCAATTTAGATAAGAGACAACAGTAGTTTACCTGCAATTAACACTTGTTAATCTATTTTGAATATACAAACCAGGAGAAAACGTCCGAGGTAATCGCATAAACTCCAAAATGGAGAAAGAATGGATGCGTCGACTGCTTTTGATGCATCACCCGCCATGCGAATCTAAACTCAGTCAAACATGTCATGATAGGGATTAGGACATAATCGGTCATTTTTATTTATGCATATCATACGACTATTCTGATGTCTCAAGATAAAAAATCGAAAAAAACATATATTTCTTGTGAGTTGAACTGTACATAATATAATCGATGAACCAATTCGTGATGGTGCAGTCTTACTCATAATAAAAATTGTGGAGTTTTTTGCGTTAATAGAACAACTTCTCATAAAGTCCGTATAATGTGAACATGCATGCGCGTAACGTATCAATCGATATACGTAAACACCATATACGATTAGATAGAGGATATGGTACTACTAAGAAGAGGAAAGTTAGCAAAAGCAAAATCGAAATCATTAATTTTGTCATAGATCCTAGTTTGAAGTCGGCCATCACTCTCCAAAAGATATTGAACAGTTTTTTTTTCTTTATTTTATCATATTCTATTAATAATACATTATGTCGTACATTTAACGTTTAAATATTTGATAATACTTTTCTAGGCTAATGTGTGAAAAAGGTTCCCTACTCCTTTTAGCTTTAGTAATGCCTTAGATATTTACTGTATTATTCAGTAACAAAGTATTTTTATATTTAGGTTTATTCCTTGCTATATCTGTGCCAGACTTCTACAGATATGTAAACAATCTAGACCATAGTCACAAAGCACCAACCGTGGGAGGAAAGTATAAACAGTGGGGATATAGGAAACCTAATTTTAAAGGCGAAATCGAACTGTACAGGTAAATAATACGAACAAAAAATAGGTAGAGACTGTACATGTTAATTAAATGAACAAATAATATGTAGAACTGTACAGATAAATTATTCGTACTAACTGTTCGTCTTTTGATCATTTTTCATTTTTTACCATGCATGGCATTGTCAGTTTGTTTTAAACTTATGAGTTTGAATATCCCTTTGATATCTGTCACCTCTCTTTTGGTGATCATTAAGGTTAAATAAAAAAAATTCTATATATATTTCAGATCAGAAGAAAATGGTGTCATGGTTCCACCAGTTCTTGTAGATATAAATAAAGATGGAGTGAAGGATATTCTTATGTCGGCATTTGACGGAACAATGATTCTTTTTGACGGAGAAACATTGGATGTTTTATGGAAGATTAAATTTGAGGGCAAAGAATCTTACAGGTTCATATTGTCTGACTAACATCCATAGGTTAACAAAGGGACATCGAAATTTATGATAAACCTATTTATCTATAATGGAAAATTCAGCCAAAACAGCTACCATCTTCACATGTATTTTCTATCTGCATTATTTAAGGGGGTTTTCATACCAAAACATTAACATAACATTTTTTGGTTTTATCAGTTTGTATATCTGAATATACTTGAAAACACCTTGGCAGAATCCAACAAAACCTGCACATACTGTTCTACAGGTCATGCACTTTGAACTAAGTGTTTTTTGTTTATTTGCTATACGAAAACTCCGATGTAGCTTTTCCTGTTATTTAATCCGGAGACGACAGGCGACAAAAGTACATCTTCCTTGGAAAACTCATGCGTTTAAATTCCATATAGAAAAAAAGTGATAAAAATCTAAAATATTACCTGTACGATGAAATCCGTTTGACTTATGAGAGGTTAATTAAGAGGTTTAACAGCACTTTACCGATGCTCAAACTCGTATATCTTTGCTTTAAGAACATACAATCCAATAGAGAAAAATCAAGAGAATCGTATGAACTCAATTCGGTGCAAGACATATCAGTTGATCATCATCGACGGTATTCCTAACTAACTGTGCATTCCTGTTGGAACCAATTGTGCTCCTCCCTTCTTTTCTATGAGAGAAACTTCATATATGAGCTTCTACAGAAGACTGAAAACAAGCTAGCATTATCTTTCAACTTCATTTTCGGCTTGAAAGATTATATCCTCTCACTAAATAATTCATATTTGGTGACTATTTGGATCGCATCTTTCCCATTTAGCTTGAAATAAAAGCTACAGTTAAGTCTGCTTCATATATTGACGTTACCTAGTAATTGACAATAAGGAATGGTTGAGAACTAACATTCACGTCAAAAGAGAAAATCTAGATTTTTTAATTGTGAACTTTCCATATCTATATTTCTGTAAAGCAACATTCCAGCAACGCCTGCAAAAGGAATATCTATCTAATTATTAAAACGACATGCTAGTGCATTTCCTTGATAGACGATTGCTGCTTACTAGGAAGCTATTGAACCACGAAAGTTTAATAGAATACACCATAATTTGGTTGATTTGTTATTATATATAAGTGTCTCAGATGACCACGGAACTATTAAACTTGTAACCCCAATCTCGTCTTTCATCCTCGATTGTGATATAACTGTATGCGATTTATAACCGAATGTTTACTTGCCATGATCAACATGATGGTTGACTCACCAGTGAAGCCTTAACTAGTGACCATTTCGCAGCACCTACGTTCACTCCCAACTTTTGGTGAGATTAGTGTTGCTCAATTTCATTTTCTATGTAGTGTTGACTCTTGTTTGTCCTTTCATCGGTTTTCTTTTGACCATGGCGTTGTATGTATTCTTTGAATTATTGTTTTTGATTGCTCCACGAGTTTTTTTCTCCTCCTTTTAACTATATGTGGTCATAGATTATATCGTATTTCATTCATTTTAGTTCCCCTGCTCCGGGATATTTTAACGATGATGATACACTAGATTTTATGTTACACTGGAGTGGAGGAGCCTGGCCTTACTACAATAGCACTGATGTAAGATTAATTCAGAAATCCAAGTTATCTATTATAGAATTTTATTTTCATTTCGTGCAGTTTTGATTGTTTACGCACTTATATTTCAATGTTTATACAAGGATGCCTATTCCTGTTGAGATCGGCTTAATATTTCTATTTAGTAGAAAGTTATTGAAATATGGGGTAAATATAGTCTCCTATAGGAGGTCAAATGCGTCCGATCGCTTATAAGCAGTGAAAACATACAGAAGTGGTCGATTTCTACAACAAAATGCTATGTTTATAGATAGTAGCATCAGAAAACATTGTAAAGAACTGTTTAATGTACAATAACTAGATACACAAATTTTTAGATCGTATTTTAGGTTAATTTCATCAATTCATCGGAAAATAGTTTATCGTAATCACAAAAAGTGTGATGCATCAATGCTATTTTGAATATAATGAAATATATATTGACAGCAAAATCATGCTCTACATTTTAGCCTACTTTTTTATATAATTCGTAACAATATAGTGTCAGAACACAATTTTCATTCTGTGTGAGTTAATTAAGTTCATGTCGTTTTATAGAACGAAATGTTCCCCTTTTCGCTCTCGAGTTTCAGCAAAGAGACATTTATTGGCGAAATACGATATGTTGTATTAAAATTTGGTGTGAGTAATGTTATGTTCACCATTTTGATTTTATAACATAATTTTCATAAACAACCTGTTTTGTATTTTTAGAAATTTCTTTAGTCCTTTTGCGATGATTATTAAGATTGCTGATTACGTGTTTAAAAATAAGCATCGTTTCATGCATATTTGTCGGTTTCCAAAACCTTATACAAAAAATATACTTAAACTTACAGTATCCTAAGAGAAACTGGATAAATATTGGTAAATTTGAAAACATTTTGTTACCATTTTAAAAGGTGATTGTCATTGATGGAAAGGATGGTGTCGTATTATGGAATACCACCAGTCACAGATATGATGTGTCATCAGATCTGGTGGCTAGAACTAGTAGTTATCACAGGGATGTATTTCTTTTCCGCATGCAAGGTCGTAAAGGTGATGGCGCATTAAATCAAGCAGCAATTCATGGAGCTACAGGAGCTCAAAGAGTTGTAAGTAAATAAATGCATATAGGGTTGAAGTTCCATGTAAACAAAACAATAAAAAATCATCAATTAAATATATATTGGTCAAATGCAAGAAATCAAAGTTCACCAGAACTAAAATGTTAAAACACCAGAACATATCGACCGAATTTGTTATTGTCACTCGCTAGACTAAGTACAAGGCCTTTTAAGGACAGTGGTGGATTACGATATTAAGTTCAGTATAACGGTGCACTTGTATGATTGTGGAGGTCCCATTTACTAGTATTTGATGCAAAAACATACTAAGATCAAATATCTATGAATACACATGTAATCGGGAACTGATATACTTGATACTGTTCTAGTCTTTTCTCGTAAATCGTTAATTGTTTATGCTGATGATTTAGATAAACAGACGTAGCTCAAATCCAAATGAACTGGAGGAAACAGTTGTGGATGATGATAATCTTGAAGCCCCAGGAGTTTTACTACCAGAAAGTCATTTCACTCGAAGACGCCGAGCAGTCCCAAAGGACTTCATCGAATGCGAATCTGATCAGACTTTGATGATAACTGAATTGTTTGCCATGGACAGGACAGTGATGAAGGCGCCGATTAAATTATGGGAGAAAGGATCAGAAAAACATTATTATAGTAAGATTGTTATTAATTCTTATGGGAAACATGATAATATTAAGATTGGTACTAATTATAAGGGGGGGGGCATTATTAAAGTATGTTTGTTATTAATTCTCAGAGGGGAATCGCTTTTCCGAATTTGAAGACGTTGTACTTGAATTTTTAATTTGGGAAACGAGGAACGAAAAAATAATAGAATTAATCTACTTTTCGTTTAGCATTTCAATTTTATGATTTTTATACCATCTAAATATTCAGACGTCAACAATACCAATTAAAAATATATTCAGCTGAAAAGTTTGTTTATCTTAATGACCACAATACTGACAGCAGATCGAGACCGCTAGAAATTAATGAGAGAAGCAATTTGAAAAGGATGCCTTGGGAAGACAAATGGGTGTTTCTGAGTGTTTGAAAGAAGAACCATCACGTGGTGTCAATACACTAAATATACTTAAAGATCTAAAGTAATGATTTCTTTCAGAATTAACAGACGAGGATCGTAAGTCAGTACAAAAAGTTGTAAAAACGTTTGGGGATAACCATACACTGACAGAGTTGGAAGTTCCATGGACAAGAGGAAAACGTCAGGCTCCTGGTGCAATGTGTATCATGGTACAACCAGATGAAAGGACAACGGGTATAGCATGATTTTATTCTTTAAATCATTATTGTGCTACTATTAGCTCCATTGCACCCAACGCAGTCAAGTCTGAACAAGAACTTTTAACGACGTTAAATAATGTCAGATTAAAAAAAAACTGTTTTCGATTATTAAAGTAAATATGAGGTCAATTTAGATTATCAGTTTATAAGAATAAAAGTAAAATTACTCAAAAGCATTAATACAGTAAGAAAGTTATTATGTTTACGTCAATGAAACAGCTATCTAATGAATATCATTAAGCATACAAATGTGCTCATTGGCTGATATTTCACGTTATGAAGACAAACTTGATAACATATGTATGATAGGACATCGACTTTTGGCAACACTTTTTTTATTCCCTTATGGTCATATAGCCCTTCAAGGATTTATACATCTCCAGCCTTCAAATGTTCGGTTTTGAGCGTTCCTGGGAAAGGAAAATCCAGGAAAGCGCTTTCAGACGCAGCTTTTGATAGGGTTATTTTAATTTTACACTTGAGATACATCAGTTTGAAACTTCTCCGCTATTATTTGTTTTTCGTACTGCTATAAGCCGCATAACCTAAGATAGACAGAACATCGATATTGGAAGTTAAGTCATTTCAATTCCGAAATAGATAAAAGTAGAAATTTATCATTACAATATTGGGCCATTTCTTGCTGCATAGATCAAATATTTTCCAATAGCTGTTAAATGCAAAAAAAAAAAAAAAAAAAAAAAATTGACAGGTCCAAGTAATTATGACCAGTATTATTTACGTGATCTCTTAAAGGTTATTTTCTTCGAGTTCTTTATAAAATACATTATGAAACAATTGTATAGACACAAATAAAGTGTTGCAGACCGTATGTTAAGATCTGTTTTTCCTTTTTTGTTAGGTTGCTGTGTCGTTGCCGTATACCACACATCTTCTTTTACTTGTATATATTAAAATTTAGAAAGTATCTGACTATACATTGTGTACTGTAATATCATTTTGATGCTGAAATGAAATTTATTTACAAAAATGTTTAAATGAACACATAATTATTTAAACAAATATGTTCTGTGAATTATATAACCTAAATGCAACTTAATATAGTTCTCTAGAACTATAGCTACGAAACACTTCACCGCCCTGTAACCCATTAGATTCCAAAATTCAACATTTATATTTCCAGGAGCTATCGGAGATGTGGACGGCGATGGAAAGTTAGATGTAATTGTGAATCTGATATCTGTTGGAATATTGCGTGACGATTATGCTCATTTTGTCAAAATGAAATTTGATGTAGACATTTATAAATTCAGCTTAGAGGATATCATAGGCAATGAAATGTACACACCACTTAATGTGACAATCCATGAGAGAATGAGGAATTCTTTCATTGAGAAGAAAATAAACAACCTCAAATTCCTGCCCCCAGAGAAACAAATTTGGGGTGGCTATATGGGTACCCTTGGTAATAGTGTATATGAACCATAAAGTGTGAATTGTTTTATCAGCCAAACAGTAAATATATTGTATGATTGTCTTGTGATTATAATTAAACAAATTGGGAGCAAAAATGATTTTTGTCACTGTGTTGGCATCATATTACTATTAAGTCTAATACGATATTCGATACAATCAAGTAAAGTTTTATAATCGGAATCTTCTTTTTTTATGCTGGCTAATATGTGATATATAAAAATATAAAATTGGAACCCCCCTTTTCAAAATGGCTGGATCCGTGCCTGGGACTGATTTAATAAAAAATAACTTTAATGGAATTTTTGTTTTAGACACTTGAATTTATCAGTGTTAACCTTTTTTAGAATCCCAAGGTATTGTATTGTAGGGATTATTGTATACGACCGGGAGTTTGATGTTTAAGGTCGAACATATATAATACGTGTACGAAAAGCCAATTATCCAAATATAACTGAACAAAACCAATGACTTTAATAGCTGCGGTTGGTATAGCTTATATATTATGTCCCAATTTAGACGAATCAAAAATCTTGACAAAAGTAATATAGTACATTTAATAGATGTAAGTCTCTTAAATAAGTATACAAGTATACAAATCAGATTACTTATACTGCTATTAAAACACACACAAAACCGGTCAAATAAAACAGAACATAATCATTCATTGACAATATTTGAGTCAGATTATTTGTATTTGTATATTGTTTCCCACAATCAGATCGGGTGCCGATTATTTTTTCACAGTAAGACACATACAATTTGACAACCATACTATCAGCTTGTTTTAATCCAAATTATCCACTTCTTTTCCAGGTTTATTCCCCCTTTTAGACATTAATATACTGATATATTGCTTTCATGATCTCACGACTTGATCTAAATTTTACTGATAAATGGAATTGTTTTTGACTATAAAATTTACACTTCTACACTGACGATATTTGATACAATCAAGTAAAGTTTTATAATCGGAATCTTCTTTTTTTATGCTTGCTTATATGTGATATATAAAAATACGGAGATGTAGTCAGATGGACAATGAGACAAATATCGACAAAAGACTAAATGACGTAGATGTAATCCATCATAGGACACTATACGGCCTTCAACAATGACAAAAACACTTACCGCATAAAAAACTATAAAAAGGTCCCGACATGACAATATGTAAAGCAATTCAAACTAGAATATACACCGGTATGTGGCCTCCTTTTCTTTTCCTTTTTTTTTTTTTTATTTATTATGTGAACTTTTAATGGTGTTCCGGGAATTGGACCCCCCCCCCCCCCCCCCACCCTTTTCAAAATAGCAGGATCCGTCCCTGGGACTGATTTGATAAACATAAATTAAATGGAATTTTTGTTTTAGACACTTGAAATTTATCAGTGTTAACATTTGTTAGAATCACAAGGTTTGTTGTATTTATTGTATTGTAGTGTATATTGTATACTACCGGGAGTTTGTTGTTTCAGGTCGAACATATATAATATGCGTACGAAAAGCCAATTATCCAAATATAACTGAACAAAACCAATGACTTTAATAGCTGCGGATAGTATAGATTATATATTATGTCCCAATTAAGACGAATGAAAAAACGTGACAAAAGTAATAAAGTACATTTAATAGATGTTAGTCTTTTAAATAAGTATACAAATATAAATATCAGATTACTTATACTGCTATAAAAAAGTAAAATAACAAAAATATCGAACTCCGAGGAAAATTCAAAACGGAAAGTCCGTAATCAAATGGCAAAATCAAAAGCTCAAACACATCAAACGAATGGATAAAAACTGTCATATTCCTGACTTGGTACAGGCATTTTCTAATGTAGAAAACACACACAAAACCGGTCAAATAAAACAGAACATAATCATTCATTGACAATATTTGAATCAGATTATTTGTATTTGTATATTGTTTCCTACAATCAGATCGGGTGCCGATTATTTTTTCACAGTAAGACACATTCAATTTGCCAACCATCCTATCAGCTTTTTTTAATCCAAATTATCCACTTCTTTTCCAGGTTAATTCTCCCTTTTAGATATTAATATACTGGTATATTGTTTTCATGATCTCACGACTTGATCTAAATTTTACTGATAAATGGAATTGTTTTTGACTATAAAATTTACACTTCTACACTGACAGCAGCAATCGCAGGTGACCACCGGGTTCCGCGGAACCCTTTTATGAATTTTTGTTTTGAAAACTAGAAAATGTACAGTAGAAACATATCATTTTAAGGCCACAATCATTATGTCACCCTGACGTAGGTTGGGTGATATATTGTTATTGTTCATTCCGTTTTTAAAGGCAGTGCTTTAATGCCTTTCTAGTTGCCGGTTTAATCCTTCCTTCCGCGATATCCAACTTATCTACGTGGTTGGTCATTAGGCTCCAAGTAGATCCGGAAATGTTGAATTCTCTCCTCTTCTTATTGTGATATAAAATGTTTTTGTTTCATTTCATTTACATTGGGAAATAGAGAAACGATCATTGTGTTTTGTTAGTTTTAAAAACTTTTGATATATTTGTATTTTGCATTATAAGCAGTCAACCGATTGACAAACTAGAATTATTTGAATTCCGTGTGGAAAGAGCTCGGGTTAATTTCGAGTGTTATCTGCAATCTAGATGTTTATAAATCATTTCAGTCGTTGATATAATAATTAAGAGTCGACTGAACATTAATTATATTATACAATTTAAAGCGCATTTCTGTTTATGCACGTGAACCCGTCTAACGTTATTGTTATTTCGCAGTTATATAAAGTAGCAAATTATCGTTCCTGAATAGGTGGCGCCGTGGTAGCCGATCCTGTTCCTCAACTTCCGGTTTCTGCACTGTGCAACTATTTCAGTTACATTTTAAATTAACGATGCCAAGTACTTGTTGTTGTGTACCTGGATGTCATTTAAGAGAAGGACATGCATTTCCAAATGACTTAAAAAGAAGGAAAAGTTGGATCAACGCTATGGCCCAAACGCAGATTGGACGAGAACACGATTTCATCGTGGAGTCCATCTCAATCAGCTGTTGTTTGCAAGGCACATTTTACTGAAAAAGACTACGTGCAGGAAACTATTCATGGTAAAACTCTATTTTCTTTTTGAAATATATAGTTATATATGTAATCGCCATGCGAATAAACCAAAGCCTGTTTACAACCGCAATTATCGTTTTAGAATAAAAGGGGGTGGTTAATTCAAGACGTCATAATTTTTTGGATTACGATTCAATGTGATCTGTTTGAGATTTTTTGGTGATTGCTACAGTTATAATGATTTCTTACAAGAGGTATATCATACTGAGAATTATTTTAGCACTAATTATGCTAATGTAGTAATGACAGGAATGCATAAGATATGCCTCATAGACTTTCTTGAAAAATATCAATGACAATGTTAACAGGAACAAAACAATGACATGCTCTCATCAATATTATAGTTATTTAGGTACAAACAATGTACGTTTGTTGCATAAGTCTCTCATTGTTTGTCCTTTGGATTTACATAACATACATTGAATCAGGCAAACATAGTTTTATCCAGATTGTAATGAATAAATCTAGTTAATATTTCGCCAGGTAATACAAAGTCAATGAAAGTATACATTGCTAATGGAAGTTCATTTAATTATAAAAAAACTAATGTTTTATAACCTTTTTCAGGGCGCAAACCCACCATACAGAGACCTAAGTCTACTGCCATTCCCAGCCTATTTTCCTGGACCAAGCAAGAGACTGAATCGTCCGCAAAAAGAAAAATCAGGGCAGTTTCCTGTGAAAACAAAAGAACTAAACTTGATGAATATTTTAGTAGAAATCTACAGGAAAGTTTTGATTGTAAAGTTGGTTTTCCTGAAGAAGTCATTCATACTGCAGAAAGGATTTATGACTGTCCACCACCAACTGCTGAGCTAATGTTGAGCTTCAAAGATGGAATTACGCAAACACCATCAATGTCTATGTTTTCAGCAGAGAATTTTGAAATGAAGACACGTGACACAGCCATGCATTTTTATACCGGTTTAGAGTTGTATACAAAATTTTTATTTGTTTTGACCACACTTGGTCCAACAGCACATTGTTTGAGATACATATATTTTCAAATTGATAGGGTGTCAGTTGAAAATCAGTTTTTTTATGACTTTGATGAAATTGAGGCATTATACAACCAACTTTGAACTTTCTAGATTCTAGATTGAATCTAGTGTTAAGAATATTGTGTATATACATGGATTGTTTTTATGCCTAAACAGTGGTGTGAGGCTAACACTTGGCCATCTAGTGGTTTAGTCAGGCATTTTTCGCCATCCAACTTCAAATTAAAGTTTCCTACGACTTGGATTATTATTGACAGCACAGAATATCCCGTGATAAAACTAAAGCTCCTAGAGCTCAGGCAACCTTTTCATCATATAAAAACAGAAACACTGAAAATACTTGTATGTTCGACGCCTGGTGGTTTAGTCAACTATGTCTCTACTGCATATGTTGGTTCTACCAGTGACTATGAAATAGTTGAAAGATGTAGAATACAAAATGTAGTTCAGTTATGTGATCCAGGTGACAGTGTGATGGCAGACAAAGGTTTAAATGTGCAAGATTTGTTTGCTAACTTTTTTCAAAAAAAGAAACAGAATTAGTTCCAAAACTCTTATACGGGATAGAAAAGTCTCCAATTAACATGTGCACATAGAGCGAATTATTGGACTTGGCAAAACATACAAAATTCTAACAAATCCTATGAATGGAACTGAAACAAAACTTTCATCTGAAATAACATTTAGTTGTTTTATGTTGTGTAATTTTAAAACTTGTATTGTGCCAAAGGATGCAGAAATAAAAGTGACGCAATGAATTTTGTTCCGATATATATATATTTATAATTACATGCACATGTAAATTGTAATGCATATAAAAATAAGGAGATGTGGTATGATATTCAGTGAGTTTATCAAACTAAAGTGCATAAGAAATGGGTTTAAGCAGTTACAGGTGTTACTGTCCCCGTACAATCTCCAACAATGAGAAAAACTTGTACCGTGTAAAAAATTTCAGAGATCTTACCACTAAGTTTTGTT